AGCATGTTCCATCTGCTGCGAACACATTCCGGTTTTATTTCCTGACTATCTTTTCCTTCTATTTCTATTTTAAAGTTCTTTTTCCAAGATTTTACTTCCCAGTTGCTGCTGCTGGGATTGTTGCTGGGGGTGCGTTGCAAGCAAGCATTTACCCTTTCAGATTCTGTGCCTAAATGACTGGGAGGCAGTGGAAGTCCCTGCACCGCTTCCACTAAGTGCTCATCTGTTTAAATCCCTCTTGCAGTCCTTATGCTGCTGCCCAGCCCTGGTGATTACTCATACCTTCTCCTTTCCTGTTGTTGTAATAGGTGAGAGAAGAGATTTAGAGCTGTTGAATTCGTGAGGTCGCATACATTTAAGGCTGGGATTGCATTTTAAAATAGTTTCTGGTTGGTCCAAGTTGTCAGGCTGAGGATGCTTCTGCTTGCCTGCTTCATTCTGTCTATCATGTTTCCAGCTTTGTTATATTCCACAGTAAATGGAGGACACACTGTTCGGGGAAAAAACTCTGCCAGGGATACCAACTGTATTCTGCAGTCTGAATTGAAAGGAGCTTGCTCTGTTTATAGCTGGAGAAGAGGGCAGAATTCCTCATGAAGCAGTTGCTTCATTAGGTCCCTGTTCCAAACAGCTTTGACACTTTTCCCCTCTACCCACCAGCTACCTTTTCTTAAGATCTTATGGGTATACATGTCACAGAAGGCAGTGCTTGAGGATGTCAGGTTTCTCTTGGGCTTCCTCTACCCATGAGATGACAATACCATGAATAAAGTGGTCACCCCATTTGTGATTCAGGCTGTGAATATAGGCTGTAGCTTTGGAGGGGCTGTTGCAGGCTGACTTTACATGACCTCATTCAGTATTCCTGTCTCATTTGCATCTCTGCTAATCGCCTTAGCAAAGTGCCACAACGTGCCACCTTTAATGTTTTAAAGGTGGGCAACCACTTTTTAACAGGACTGTTTTCTGCCTGAAAACTCTGTTTTTCAGAAAGAAATTATTGTGTCAAAATGGAATGTCTGTTTTGTGAAATTTCCAGTTGGCTGATGTTTTGTCTCTTTTTTTTTCAAATTTTTTTTTTTTCATTCCACAATTATCTTTAATTTTATAAAAAATGAATTAAGTCATCATAGTGGTAGCTGTTGCTTCTTTGATCATGCTTCTGCGAAATACTTAAGGAAATTTTCTCCATGTTTTCAAACCCAGAGATGGCAGAATTTTTGTCAGGCAGCAAATTGAAAGGGCATCAGATATTTTTTTTTCCAAACCATTCTATTTATCCTCACACTCCCTAGGAGCTGGAAGAGCAGCACTTCCCCATATTTCATATATGGGGAAGGGAGGTGTAAGAAAACTAAATGATCCACCCAAGCTTATAATTGAAGCCTGGCACAGGGCAAGGGCAATAAACCCTGCGCTTGTGCTCTCACACTACACATTCACCCTCTTTTCTCCAATTCATGTCAGATCTGGTAGGAATTTCCTATTATTTTTTCATACCCTGAGTAACCAATGCTTAAAACATTTTTTGTGCCTGTGGAGTTTGGGGGCAGATTTAAAGATATGAATCACTTATCCAAGGAATAGTAGGCTCAAACCTTCCATATGTAGGCTGTTTGATTTGAATTTCTTGACTTTTCCTAAGTGAGAAGCTGAATTGACTTTCTTCCTTCTTTCAGCCTTTCTGGCTGTACTGATATCCAAAAATGCAAAATGACATCTTGTCTCAGCCCACTAGAGCAGATGCATTGCAGGGGATTAGACTGGAAATTTTCCTAAAATGCAGCATTCTGAGACGTTTTTGGAAAATATAGCTGGGAAGCAGTGTATGTGATGTTCACTTGATGCTAACCCAGCAAGACAGAATATAGATAGGTGGCAAGAGAAAGCTGTAGGCACAGTCAACAAGACGGCATTGCTTCAAGCCAGAAGGCCACCTCAGAAGGGACAGGGCCCCAAAGGAGAAGCCGAGCAGTGAGCCAGCAGGTCAGGCATTGGGAGGGATCCAGCTGCTGCCCAGATAGGCAAAAAGCATCTTGGAACTGTATTTAGACACGTGAAGGAAGAGCAAAGCTCCCTGGCTGAGGGAGCAGGCATGGCTGAAGGGTTGGCCCAAGAGGGTTGGCCAGCGTTTTGGGGTGCAGCATGTCTGGAGAGGTTGGGAACAGCCAGGCATGTGGATATTTGAAGCTTCTGCATCCTCAACCTGCTCTGTGTGGGACTGCTGATGGGGGTGAAGAGGAGGAGTAGCTTTAGCTTGTGACAGAGGGCAGGGATTCCGTGTGCTCCAGCGTGCCTCAGGCTTGCACCTCGCTGCGCTGCAACCTCACCAGAGTGAGCTGACTGCCACGCTCAGGTCGGGCTGCAGGAAAGTAAATGCTGCAGAGCAAGGATATCTGTAGTGCAAGAGCTGCGTAGGAGGACACAACAGGCTTCTGACAGATGGGAAAACGCTGATGAATCCTGAAATCATGGGTGAAATCCAGCTGTCCTGCCCTCCTCCTCCCACTCCCCTATGCATCTCCTGCCCTTCAGTGAACTGTTAATTAATGAGGGCCTTGTCTTGGGTGAAAAGTCAGGTTAGAGGCTTCCAGGAATGTTGTCAAGAAAAAATTGGGAAATTGAGGAGGTGGTGGTGAGGCAAATTTGTTAAAAATACATAGTTTTGTCTGGGAGAGAGAAGATTAAAATAGGATTTTTTAATTTATTTTTTTTTTTTCAAAACTGGTTGACTAAGTCTAAAGGAAAAAAAAAAAGATTAAATCCATTGCTGAAGGCCTAATTCTGTCTCTCATGTAAGCTACAAGTCAGTTTGAAATGAAGCTATGGAGGTGTTTTGCAGGAATGATTTGGTCCAGTGTAATTACTACAAAATAAATGAACGTTCTTGTGAAAAAAAGAGGAGATGATACAAATCAGGCATGTAAACTTTGAGACATGTTGTTTGGAAATACAGATGTCTGTGGACATCCAAAGGAAACAATTAGAAAGGAAACAAATAGAAAAATATCAAAATTCTCTCCTTACAGGAAATGTTTTTCATCAGATTGGTTATGCTAGGCATGAATTTGGTCAGTCAAGTCAGTAAAGCCTTACAGGGAAAAGTAAGGACATCATAAAAGAAGGATGAATTAATTCCTTCTCAGAGGAAAAGTACACCCATGTGGTGGTTTTACTGTGCTGGGCAGCTAAACCCCACAACTGCTCTCTCACTCCCCCTCCTTTAGATGAGGAGGGGGAGAAGCAAAGCAATGAACAACTCACGGGTTGAGATAAGGATAATTTAATTAAAGGGAAATAATTATAATAATTAAATAAAGACTACCATGAACTAAACAATTTAACTAAGGGGAAATAAAAAGGGAAAGGGGAAAAGGGAGGGGAAAAGGGAAAATAAAAAGAAGAGAGGAAAACAAACAAACAAAATAAATGAAAGCTATATGGAAGTGCAGAGGAAATAAATTACTCTCTACTTCCCACAAATGAGCGATGATTGACCATGTCATTGAAGCAGGGCCTCAATGCACGTAGCCGGTGTTAGGGAGGAAGACCGATGTTTTTACAACAAGAGCCCACCCCTCCCCTCTTCTTCCTGTTTCCACCTTTTATTGCTGAGTGTGACATCACATGGTATGGAATATCCCTTTGATTGGTTTAGGTCAGCTGCCCTGGTGATGTTTCTCTTCTAACTTTTTGCCCATCCCCTAGGAGGATTAGAGAGAGGCCCAATGCTGAGCCACTGCTGCTCAGCAGTAGACACAACACTGGTGTGATAACACTGCTGTTCCAGCTACAAGTGCAGAGCACAGCACTGTATGGGCTGCTGCTGGGAAAGTTAACATTCCAGCCAGACCCAGTACAACCCATCAAGTCAAGTCATGAAGTTTTTGATCCCAGACCATGAACTCAGCTAGAGCTCATAGGATATTGTTAACATTGTAATGTGAGCACTGACTGGCCATGAGGCATTGGGGCAAATCCATCACAACTCACTGTTAAGTAACACTCCACGTCACAGCAGTGCTGTTTCATTCCACCATACCACTAAGAGGCCTCTCTTGGATTTGCTTTTAATTAATTAAGTCACAGTAGTGGTGAATGTGGCGCTACAGCAGTTGCTTTCAGCCTAATTGTTCTCCAGGCATATTTGCAGCACTCCTGTCGAAATCCCAGGCTTGTTTCAGGAGTCAAGCTGCACAAATTAAGTTTCTGCTATTAAAAGCAGTTTGTTTTCTATTCCCTGGCAATCTGTTCCTAATGCAGAGCCCCACTGGAGCATGAAGGTTTCTTTTTTTTTTTTTTCTTTCTTTCTTTTTTTTTTTTTTTTTTTTTTTTTAAGCAAATGGCAAAAAAAGGTACTGCTTTTATCTCTACCTGTGCTTAGGAAATCAAGGTTTTTCACGTCAGCATCATAGTGTTTTCAGCAGCAAGTTTTGTAGGCACTGTTTGATAGATCCCAGTGGAATGACATAATTATTTTCATCCCTCTGTCCAGGGTGTATGATAACATTCTTTCCCTCTTCTTCCTTCATTATGGTCTTTGAACAGTGGAACATATTTTTTCCTTGCAGATCACCCTAATATTAAGAGGCACCTTACTCCCAAAGGTTTCTGAGCAGGAGAATCTACTTTATATCACAGTGCTCTTATCCTCCATCTTAAACTGCAGGACAGACACAACAAATTAATCAACTTATGCTTAGTCACATCTGTTTCATTTATATCAAACTGGTGCCACTGAAGCAGAAAGCATCCTTATTCTTTCCACATTGTTCGAACTGAAAATTAACTAGCTTTGCATATAATGAAACTCATACTTCATTTCTTTAAAGTAATTGGACCTATTTTATATTTTTAAAGCAGAATGACTTAGAGTTGCAATGTATCAGTGTATTACTAATGCAAGAAGGAATATTTCCTCTTTCATCTTCTGTGTTTACCTCTCTGGATTTATTTGTATGGGGTCTGTAACTAAAGCAGTCCCTATTGTTCCCCCACAGAATTAGGACAGCCCCAGGCGTGAAGATCATGGACATCAGAGTCAGTGATGCAGACCAGTGGGGGGTTCAAGAAGAGACGGATAGTGCAAGGACCACTGCCACAATCACCTGTGTGCACAACGACCCAGACCCAGAAAGCAGGTAAGCCAGCAAGCTCTTTTGCACATTAACTCTTGCTGAAATGCTGAGACACAATAATTGTGAGAGACACAGTAAATTCTTTAAGGGGTGGTATTTCTCTTTTAACAGCAGCATTTGCTCCTCCTCATCTTTGTTGGAAAAGCTATAGGTGATGTGATTAGAGCTTTTTTTCCTTTTGTTTCACTTGATCTAATTATACTGGAGGCAGACAACTAGTCCTGGCTCAAGTTTGCTTTTCTTGTGCCTTCAGGGCAACAGGAGAATTCCTGTTGACAAAAAGCCAACAGAGAGAGATGGATTAAAATAGAGAAATATGGAGAATAATTATAGGACAATGCTGTCTCCTTTATTTGAAAGCTATAAAAGTAATAGCTATTAAGTGTTATTCATTACTGCTGCAAAACACCTATGAGTGTCTATGAACTATCTCATGAATGCCATGTATGTTTATTGTGGTAATGCTCCCACCAACTGTATCAAAGGTAACGAGAAATTTATGTTGTTAGTCAGAATTATGTATTTGACAGCACAAACAATTTCTCTCCATTATCATGCAGTTACTGTACATTTAAGTACACTCTGTACGCATTTAACATGTAATTGTATCATAATTAGAAAAGCATAAAACTTTATGTCAAAACTTTGATTTGAGGAGTCTTCTGCATCCATCCTTTTGTGAAAGCTCCTTTAAGGGAGAAAAATGTTTGTTAGCCATTGTTTAGATCTAGGAAGATTGTTGCCAAAGGCTTGGAGTGCAAAGGGCATTTACTCTATTTGATTCCTGAAGCTGTATTTGAAGAACAAATGAATCCCAGCAAGCTCTGGGTATCTGCAGTACACGTGTTGAGGTGAAGACTATTTACCATGCTTTCTAGCAACAGAAAGAGTACTGTTAAGGTGAGAGTCCTGTTGGATGTGTAAAACAGGACCAATAATAGCAAGCAGAAAGTGCCTGTTTCTCTCCAGTAAAGATGTAGAGAGTGGAGGTGACTGAGCTGGACACAGCACTTGCACTGTAAACACATGAAGTGAGGGGAGGTGGTTCCTACGTTCTCGGTCTCTGGTTAAGTCAAGTTTTACAGAGCTTTCTGGCATGAAATGTCAGACAAACATTTCAGTTCATTGCCTGTTTCACACACACTTCCTCCCCATTTAAAAGGAAAAAAAAAAAAAGTAAGAAAAGTTCCCTCTTGTTTCCTAAACACTTTTGTCAAAGTTGCAAGTCTGAATTTGTAATGTAGAAAATTATGTCCACCTCTTATCATTTTATTTTTTTTTTGCTGGGTTTTCATGGGCTCCTGTAATGGTAGAGCAAAGCTCTGGCAGCTGGTTTAGGCTCTGTATGCTTTGTCTCCAAATTCTTTGTCTTTTAGCAAGATTTCCCAATTCTGAAAGCCAGTAAAGAACCTTTGTGTGGGAGAAGAGCTCAGCTAGCAGAGACTAGTGGCTCCAAGGAAGCTACCACACTTGTCCTGGAGCTATGAATTGACACATGATGGCTCCAGCAGTGAAATCTCAACCTTAGATAGCTGATATTGAGGTGGTGGTGCAGTACTTGCTCTCTGCTTAACATGGCATTCAGGCATCTTGCTAAAGCAGTTGTAACCTCTGTTCTGTTTAGAATATGGGGGAAAGGCATCAATTTGAAAGTGAAACTCTGAGGATAAAGGAAGACTTAAGATTGTTTGCTTATCAAAACTCAGTAACTATTTAGTAAAGTAAGACAAAAAACAGGGAGAGTACTGAAACTATTGCCTTGTAGGTAGTTTCACTAACTCATGAAACTATACCTGTCACACTAACTTACTTTTTCTTAAAACTGATTTTTGCTTTGTGTTGAACTGTTAAACTGCACAAAAGCAATGAATCTCAAGTTAATTAATACTTTGACCCTTTCTGTTGTGAGATTAGTTTTAATATTTTTGGATTAATTGAAGTATGCAAATGAAAACTGCTGAAAGATCATTTCCAGATTTGCAAATACTGTAGTGCTTAGAGTAAATATTTAGCTTTGATCTTCACTTTAATTTGCCTTTTTGGTCATAGGGGTGGCTTCTTGTTTCTTTCAAAGGACGTTAAGTATTTATGTGGGGTTTCTGCTGCTCTATTTGAATGAGCAGACTTGAACTTCTGTTAAGGTCAATGTGGCAAAACTGTCACTAGACCTGATTCATCTGCTCCTCTGAGTAATTCAAGGAGCTTCATTAAAGGCAGTTTATGTATGAGTGCGAGTGCAGGATCAATCTCTTTCATTGCAGAGCAGAAGTTATTATTAGTAAACAGAATTGTTCCTACCTCAGGGGAGCCAGATTTTTCTCTCCTGGAAGTCATTTCAGGTCTGCTGACTCGCCCAACATTACACTGGCAGAGAAGTGCCAAAGCCAGAACTAAGGCCTCTGAGCCCACATAGTTTTCTCTACAAGATTGCCAAATATTCCACAGTTCTGCAACCTCCCTTGAGCCTTGCAGCAGAGCCAAAAGCCCCAGCCACCTCATGCAGCTCCAGCAGGTTCGGCAAAAATTATAAACTCTGACAAGCCACAGCTGTGTTCACCAAAATCTCTGACTATCCTCGTTGCCTTTAGCACAGAGGTCTGTTCTCTACTGCTTTGCACTTTGATTGCTCTTTCTTCCCCAGCATGTGACTGATAAGAGCCACCAACAGACACCACCTGCTGGGAGATCAGCTGCGCTGGGCTCGCATGTGTTTGTCGTCCATCAGCGTCCTTTAGCCACTCTTATCGGTGGGAGCCTTTTCAAATTTGCTTACTTACCTAATCTTTCTCCTTTTCCCCTCTACAGTGTTATCGTGAGTTTTTCATCTCTTTCTCGCATTTTCCTACTCAGATTGTGTGCTCATTAAAATGTTTTAAATTAAGACCTTTCCTCCTTTCATGCAGAGTGCATCATGCCTTTTCTGTGCATTACTTAAAAAAAAATCCTTATCACAATGTTAGAAACAATTTACATTATATTCTATTAAAAATCCATTTTGTCCAAGGTTGTCACAATTCATAGATTAATGCTTTCTAGAGTGTGTTTTGTTAGGAATACATTCAGAAATCCACTTCTTTAGTAGTCCCATAAGCTTGTATGTTAAACCTCTTTTTGATAATGTAGTTGAACAAAGAGCATAAAAAGAAGAGATTTATTTTAAATACACACAAGTATATTGCAGACACCTATTCGATCTGTGTGGAGCCTTAATTTGCCCTTACTGCTGTCATCTCAAATGAGCTTTTTGGCAGCTCATTGAGTGAGGAGAATGATTGTTGTCATGTGCATTTATTCTCCCTTGTATTCTTTGCTTGGGGCAGAACTTCATGAATCTCATTTTGGTATGGCTAGTTGAATCAGAAGTGTGCTTTGTTTCCAGAAAACACAGTTTCTACTTCAAGCACAGATACTTCTACATGGTGCCTGCAGCTGGGACCCAGTATTCTGTGCCATAAGAAAGGATCTTTATGGATTCCTGCACTGAGTACAGAGTGCATCTTGCAAGGAGCTGAGGAAATCAGGGCTGATGGGCTTCAGTAAAAACCAAGTGCTTTCAGCGTTCCACAAAGAATAGCTGTTGAGAGGATCTGGGATCTTACACTATGGTGTAGGGCTAAATGTTGAGTTATTGCAAAAAATGCTTTTCAGATAGATAGAAGGTCAACAATTGGGAGTCTACCAGCCACAAATTCAGTGTGAGTATATACACAGTGCTGAGTATAGTGTTACTATGACCAAACTGGTTCTTCTCACTTAGGGATTATTTTATCTCCATGTCTACAATGCAGCTTCTATCTGTCAGGATATCCATCACTGCATAAATTAAACATGCATGAGAAAGACTGAAAGAAGCAGTAGGGAGGGTGAAACCTTCAGAGGGATTTCTTTAAGTTTCTATCAGAACTATTTATACGGTTGCCTGGAAATTTGGGTTTATTTATTTATTTATTTTCTTTAAATTGATGCAGACCGGGTTGACCATTTGGCATTTGACATCATCTATCTTTAAACTTGAATAAAAAATTAAAATCCTGTAATGATCATTCCATTTCTTTACCATTTTCAAAGGTCTTTAAAGAATTCAAATAATTAAAGGACTTTATAAAAATATAATTGCAATGTGTGCACATATATATATATACTTACATCAGGAAAAACAGTTATTTCATGTATTTAAAGGTATGCAAATATAACCTCCTATTTTGAAATAATTCACGTCTTTTCCTGTGCTTGGGAATACCCTTTGAACCAGAAATATCACTCAAAAGGAAGATGAAAAGTTGGCTACCAGTAAAGATATGGGCATATATTTATTTAAAGTAAATACATACTATTGGAGCTGATGAATGTGCAAAAATGTTGTATCAGTTAGTTTTGTTTTTAAAGCTGTGGATGATAAAAAAAAAAAAAAAAAGAGCTGAGGCTTTCTCCTCTCCCTCCTCCCCTTGACAGACAGCCTTGAGAGGCCCTTGTCCCTCAGAACAAATGCTACTCCCTGCATTCCCTACTCTCCCACCACTGCTCCAGTCCCTGCCTTGCCCATAAGCAAGCATCTGCTGGGGTGTCTGGGTCCTCACGGCTCTGCCAGGCTGCAGCTGCATCTCACACCCCCGTGGAGGTGTTTGTGCACTGAATTGCCTGCTGGTCTGTGCTCCAGAACGACATACAAATGTGGGTCACAACTCATGGGCCATCAAGGAAGGGCAGCGCAGTGCACTGTCCCCAACCAGAGCCTGCTCTGGTACTGGCGGTTTGCTGCACTCCTTACTGCCATGACTTGGGCACCTGAGGACACAGCTTGGTTGGGTCTGTGCCCTCGGGTGGTACGGCACGGGGTGTGCTGAAGCTAGAACGAGGAGTTGGGTTGCTTTGCTACGATGATTAAGACCAGAAAGGGCTGCAGACTGCTGTAGTACATGGCAGCATGCTGTTAATGACACAGGGGAAGGCACTAGAACATGGAGTGAAACGCTGAGATGTGTTTATTGCCAAAGGAACTTGCT